GGCCAGGGTTTGCTGACATGTTTAGTTAATCCACAAGGAGATTGCTGATGAGGATTCTGGTTAATTAGTTGTGGAATTTTAAAAAACGAGCAGATGTGCCATGGTAAAATGCATTTTACTTCCCGAACCCTGGGGGAAAGCACTGGGTATCTTCTGTGGCTGTGTGTACTTACATATCTTGATTGAACATTCAACAGCATGTTTTGCAAGACTCAGGTATCCTGGCTTTGTTCCAACATGGATAATTAGGTTCTGCTCCAGCTCTCCTTCCAGTCTCAGGCAGGTACAAGATTAATCATAATAACAACAACTAACAAGCGCCTACTATGCACCAGCCAACACATTGGGAAATTTCCATACATCATCAGTCCTTCCCATGATCCTGCAGACTAACTTCTATTTTCTCCCCCTTTAATGGGGAAACAGAGAGGTTAGTGACTTGCCCGAGGCTGCACATGAGTGAGTGGCAAAATAGAGATTCAAACTTAGACAAGGCTGGCCCCAAAGCCTGTATTTTTCCTCTTTTGCATTCTTCATTTGAAAAAAACAATGCATTCAAGGGGTGCCTGGGTTAAGCGGCTCAGTCGGTTAAGCGGCTGACTCAATTTCGTCTCAGGTCATGATTTCAGGGTCATGGGATGGAGCCCCACATCGGGCTCTGCACTAGGCGTGGAGCCTACTGAGGATGCTCTCTCTCCCTCTCCCTCTGCCCCTCCTGCTTGCACATGCGCACTCTCTCTCTTTAAAGAAAAGAAAAAAAATGCATTTGACAAAAAAAAGTCAAAGGATACAAAAAGGATATGTCATGGAAAATGAGTTTCCTCCCAACTCTTAGCCCTCTGGTTTTCCTTCCTGGAGGCCCACCCTGATATTCTTCTGTATCATCCAGTATATTCTATGCATCTACACCTTATTTTCTTTTTGAAGTTGCTATTATAAGTTATTTGGCTAAAATGGACTATTTCTCTATACTGAATTTTCCTATTTAAAATTCGTAAATTTTAAATGCTTTGGGAGCAAAGTGTGGAAGGGTTTTGTACGAATATCAAGCAAAGAACAGGCTATTCTACACATCTTTCAGGAAAAGTCATCACGAACAGCAGGTCATCTATTTTTACATATGGTTAGGAGAGGTAGAGGATATCAGAATATCATGGGGTGACTATGTCCTTCTTTTTAATATCCAAGTATACACACTTGCACACACAGACCAGCTATCATGTGTATGTAGTGTTTTCTGACTTCTTTTTTTCCCCATTTCTTATTTTCTGAAACATTATTTATAATCACAGCATAACATTACCTAAATGCATGTACATTTAGGTTGTTTCTAGTATTACTTTTTTACCACTTTAAGCGGATGTTGCGCATCCTTAAAATACATATCTACCTGCAAATATCTTCACATTTCAACATGATAAATTCTAATGAGTGCCTTCCATAAAATGTAAACTTATTTGCAAAACCTAGCAGGTTTCTGTGCACCGTGGATAACACTAAATAATTCTCAATTTTGTGATAGGTCAAAATGTTGTCTTTGGATTTAATTTGTGTTTCTTTGATACCTGATGAATTTTAATATCTTTCCAATTTTATATTTTATATCTTCTTTCAGGAATTGTGTCTTTTCCTAAGTTTTCTGGTGGGCTATTTCCTTACTGATTTGTTGCAGATATTAAATATTTATCTATTATGTAGAGCAGAGTTTGTTCCTTTGCATTTTATTTCCCCTTACGGTGATTTTTTTTTTTTTTTGTCTCTCAAAACTTTAAAATTTTTATGTGGTTATATGAAAGCCTTTTGCTTTGCTTTCTTCCTTTGGTATTATGAGTATAAAGCCTTCACAGTTCTCAAGAATATATACGTATTTATTGATATTTTAATCGCTTACTCCACTGTTTTCTTTTTCACTTTGAATTACTTCATTCATTTTGAATTCACAGTGGTGTAGGTGTGAATGAGGAAATTTGATTCCATTTTTTTTCCCAGACGATTTGCTAATTGCCCCCAACAAAGTCCCAATGGGCCAATTTACCAGCTGACTTAAAATGCCACCTTTACCGTGTGCTTTTTATGTAGTTGTGCTTATTTCTGATTTCGGATTCTGCCCATCCATTTGCCTCTTCCCAAGACAGAACCACACTGTTTTAATTACTACAGCTTCATAATATATATTGTGTGACATTGTAGTTTCCTGCCCATGATTCTTCCTTCCAGCATGATGCATTAGCTCTTACCTTTAATTTATTCATCCAAAAGAAACTTTGTAATTGTCATGTCAAATTCAATTTTTTAAATCCTCTTGGGATTTAGATTGCTATTATGTTTGATTTATAGATTAATTTGAAAAGAATGAATGTCTTTCTAATGTTATGACTTCCCATCTCTCCATTTATTAGTTTTAATTGAACTGTCTATAAATTATAGAACAATATTAAATATTAATTGTGTTAGCAGGCATCTTTGTCTTGCCTAACTTTAATGAGACTCGGGGCCTGTGGGTTACCAGCACGGAGTCACTAGAATCAAAATGCTTGGGTTTATAGCTTGGCTTTACCAATCAGTACCTTGGGTCTTCGGGCGGGTTACTTCTCTGTGCCAAATTTCTTTACATGAATAATCAGGCTAATACAAATACCTACCTGGTGATACTGTGATGAGGTTTAAATGAGACAATACATGTGAAAGTACTTTGAGCCGTACCTGCCCCGTGGCTCTCACTAAATGTTAGCTGTTGGTATTATTTCCTTCAATATGCCTGTGGCTGTGGGTTGGAGGTGGATGTTCTTTTTTCATGTTAAAGAGGCAGCCTTCCTGGTTTCTTAAGATTTTTTTTTTTCCTTGATTAGTAATGGATGTTGAATTTACTAAGTGCCTTTCCAGGATCTGTTGAGATGATCATTTTTTTCTTCTGACCTATTTCTGCGCTGAATTATGATTTTGTATTAGATGTAATGATAATGGATCTCAGTGGGACGCGACAGCTTTTCTTTTAATAAATTATGCTTTGGTAGATACTACTCGAAATCTTGGCTGGTCAGGGAGCTTCTGCTTGTCAGCCTAGGGTAGGTGGGCCTGCCTGTCGGCATTCTGGCAGGCGTCTCGGCCCAGTCCACTGTGCGGGTGTCCGGGGGCTGCCTGGCTCAGCAGCTCCAAAGCATAATCTCCCCTCCTCTGCCCTGCCAGGAGCAGGGCAGTGGCCTGGGTTGGGCCGAGGGTTGGGGGCAAGCTCTGCAATGGAGCTGCTGCTTGTAGAGATCTATAGGACCCTGACTGTTGACTGTACATTCGCCTGTGCTGCTCATCCCACCAGGCTCCCTGGTGGCTCCGGTTCCAGAATCCACTTTCTTTTCATTAGTGACCCCCCTCCCCTCCCTGAGCCGCTTATGGCTCTCTCTTCCAATACCCTCACACGTCGGCCTCCCTTCTTCCAAAAATACGTCTCTCTTCATTGTCTGCCACCAGCTCCTTACCTTTTCTTTTACTATGTAGACTTTATATTTTTTATCTATTCATTATCAATTTAGTGGTGACCCGAGAGGGAGTGGAGATGAACACTGTGTTTGATCCACCATGTTAGATGGAAGTTCTACTGGGACTTGGGCCCTTTAATTGATATTAAATGATCCACTTTGTCTCATTTAATGTCTTTGCCTTGGATTCTACTTTTTCTGGTATTAATATCATGACTCCAGCTCTCTTTTAGACTGGCATTTTCCTGATGTGTCTGAACCTCTCCATTTTCATATGAAATGTTTCTGTCCTTGTGTCCTGGGGTGGTCTTGTAAACACAAAAATGACTAGGTTTTATTTTAGAATGAGAAATCTTTATTGTTGTCATTTTTAAAAATTACGGTGTTTAGCATATTTTCAGTAATTTTTAATATTACCACAATCATTCCTACTCGTACACTTCTGTCATCTTGCTCTACAATTTTGGCTATTTTTTCCCCTGGCTTTCCTTTCCCGTCTCCTTTGTTATATGAGCTGCATTTTCTTTGCTTCTTTATTTTCCAGTGTTTGGGAAGATACATGTCCTGTTTTGAATTGTTCATTACACTCTGCTCCAATAGAGAAAATGAGTGGGCAGTGCCCTTTGGGAAAGAGTCTCATACTTTCACACACTCTGCCACCCTCCCCTTCTTCCTCTGTCACCAACTTCTTTACTAATTTAATCTGGGATATTGGGTTTGATTTGTCAAATCACTAACTTTTAACTATTGTTGATTAATTTTTTCAATTTCTTAAAGGAAAATCATGATATTAGAAGCAGAATTTGTTGGTTATCTGGACTTCCTACTTGTTTGATCCCAGTCATTGCCCTTTTATGCACAACTTCCCCATTCTCTAATTCTTTGTCACCATCACATAGGTCATTGCTTTGATTTTCAAGGAACTTTTTGGAGAAAGAGGTGGAATGCTTTTAAAGCTATTGCACATCTTGTGATGCTTTTCTTTTGCCTTCACAAGCAAATTGGCTAAGTACTGAAAGTCACAATTTTTTTTTTCTGCAAAGCTCTATAGATGATAATCCGTGGTTTTCTAGCATTTCATGCTGTTGCAAAGTCCTTGTCTGGCTTGAATTTGTAGAAAACCCGTTTTGTTTGCTTTAGCCATTTTGGGTACCTATAATACTTAAAAGAACTTTTGCAGTTTTTGTATAATTTAAAATGTTTGTCCTGATGTGTGTTTGTATAGATAGATGATGGGTGGGTGGGTGGATGGAAAGATGGATGGGTGGATGGATGGGTGGATGGATGATTGATGGGTGGGGTGGATGGATGGATGGATGATGGGTGGGTGGGTGGATGAATGGATGGGGAGATGGAGAGATGGATGGATGGGTAGGTGGATGGATGATGGATGGATGGATGGATGGATGGATGGATGGGTGGATGCATGGATAGTTGGATTCCTGGATGTGGGTTTTATTTTGTTAGGACAAAGCTGGCCTTTGATCTGCCCCCATAGCCATCTTTTATCTCATAAATATCTCTTTAATGAAATCTTGGCCTATCACTCTCCAATTTGTTCCAGATTTCCTCTTCAGTAACACTGCAGACTGTGCATTGCCTGTGACAATTCTGTCTTCCACATCGCCTCCTCCCTCATCAGTTCAGTCTTGTAGACCCTTCCTTGAGAAGCCCAAGATCAGACTCAAGTATGTTCTGATTTTAATTTTCTGTGTCACTAATTCTGCTCTTTCTTGCTACCGGTGCCATTTGCTGATACATTTTTAGCTTCTCTGCAGTACCATCTTACCTCATCCATACCCAGTTTTTTCTTATCCTGTTGTCTTTTCCTGTCTTCCTTCGTCTTTTCACACAAGCCTATACCTACCTCTTGACCTTCTGCTCAAATGTCCCCTCCAGGGTTTCTCTGGCCACTCAATTCCCTTGTTATGCTTGCTCTCCTTTTCCTTCACGCCACATTGTAATTCTGCATTTATTTGTCATCTCTGCCACCAGATTAGAGGCTTCATGCTACATCTGTTTTATTTAGAGCCATGCCTCAGTGCCTAGTGCAATGGCTAGCAAACAGTAGGCACTTAATAATTGTTTGTCGAATGAGTATAGGTCCACATCACTCTGGCTTGGATTCCCTTCGGCCCTGCCAGCATTGCTTTGAGCCAGAGGTTCCCAGACTTCAGTCATCGAAGGATCTCCTTTCTTCCGTATTCATGTGCTATTTGTACTATTATTTACTGAACGTTCGTCTTTAGATCAGTTCACATTTTCTGCGTTCGCCGCGTAGTTAAGCCTCACCCTCAGCAATGAAATCTGTGGAATGAAGGTGATTCCTAGTTCCAGTTTTCTAAAATACATTAAAATGAACACATAACTGTAACACATGTAAGCTCTGTCCATGAATTGCTTGCACGTGACGGATGAGCAGTGACTGCACCTGGGGAAGCCCTCTCTATAGAAGAGCTTGGCCTGCTGGGTTTCCTCAAGGAGCTCAGGTACTCTTGATCTGGGTGCTGATTCCCTCCCGTGTTCTCCATTTGAGCCGGCGTGAGTCATTGGTTTTTGGCTGCCTGTAACAGGATGGCACAGGGACGAGGACCAGAGATACCACAGTCAGCAGGGACGACCCCATCCTTTCCTGATGGGGTTTGCAGACCGACTGGGGAGAAAGGCATTAGATACACAACCAGATAAGCAAGATGGTGACAGGTCCTGCTTAGAGCTTTGCAGGAAATAAACCACGGGGTGTAGAGAGTGATATCCGAGAGTGGTGACAGGTAAACAGAGACCGAAGGAGAAAAGGACTGAGCCATGGGGAGACCAGGGAAAGTGTCCCAGGCAGGAAGAAGAGCAGAGGCCTGGAGACAGGGAAAGGTAGGACTGGACAAGACAAGAGCGTCTGCTAGCTCATTGTGCTGGGGCATCCTGAATGTTTTTCAGATCTGAAATGCAGAGCTGGACTGTCTACACCATAGCCTGGACAAGAATCCAGGTCTGTACAGTTTGGGCAGGCCTTGGACCATGCACAAGTATTACTGACTCAATCATACATGTGGCGTTGGGCACAGCAGAGGCCTGGATGATATGTGAGCAGCAGACTGACTTCCCAGCAGCCCTGTCCACAGTTTTCCTTACTCCCTGCATGATCAGAAAGCCAGCCCCCGCTAACCCTTTGCAACCATGGAGCTTAATGTATTCTGGAACACTTGTGTGTGTGGGAGGCAAGATGGAAAGGACTCCTGTCTGGGGCTAATTTCTCCCTGCATGGGAGGGGAGCATTGCAGAGGGGCAGGCCTCAGGGCCGGGGGCTGGGGGCTGGGGGCTGGGGCTCTGCTATTCCAGGCTACCAGACCCCACCCCACACCATAATTCCCACGGCCACAGCCCCAGGCTCTCCTCCTCCTCCAGCTGGGCCTGGGTCTGGTGAGACCTTGGTCTGGACCCCTCAGCTCAGAGCTCCCTGAAGTCCTGCTGTGTGACCTTGGACTCGTGCTGGCCTTCTCTGGGCCCTGGCTCCTTCTCTGTGGTGTGGGAGAGGCCCTTAAGAGAGGTAATAAGTCTCTGTCTGCAGCTTCCAGCCGGCCCAGAGCCCAGGTCAGGCACGAGGCCAGGGCAGCCCCGCCCCAGGGGCCCGCCCAGCCTCAGACATTTCATAACGACTGCTGACGACAGGGCAGCCGGGGCAGAGCAGGGACGGCCAGGAGGAAGGGCAGCTTGGCGGGGCCTCAGGTACGCTGTCCCAGGGAGGCAGGGGTAGAGCAGCTGGCCATCAGGGCCCGGGACCAGGCTGGTGGGCTTGCTCGGGGACACCAGGCTTGCAGGCCTGGCCCCTGGCGGCCACACACACAGGCTGACTTTGTCTTCCCCTAGCTCCTCTGCCTGCCTGGGGAGAAAGGGGAAGGAGGAAGGAACTTCCCTCTGCCCGGGCCTAAGAGCCGGAGAGGGAGGGGCTGAGGAGAGGCTCAGGGGGCTCCTGAGTCTGGTGGCCGACAGCCACCCTCATTTTGTCTGAGCTGGGCCAACACTTTCCTCTCACTGAGGCTACAGCACATCTTTTCCGGAGCTGGGGACCCCAGCTCTGGGCCTGGATGCCCTAGGAGAAATGCACCCCCGTCCCTGGGGGTGGCGCGGGGCAAGCATTCATCTGGCAACACACAGTTTCTGGGCACTGCTAGGCGAGCCGGGTGCTGGGGCCGGGGTACCCAGTGACTCTGGGACATCCCATTCTTGGGAGCAGGCTCTGCCGGGGCCCGGGAAGGAGGGACTAGCAAGACTCTGCCCTGCCTGGAGGAGGGACTGATCATCAGAGGGACTGGGCCGGCTTCAGGGGAGCTCTCTGTGGGGTGGGGCTGGCGTTGGCTCAGCCCACAGGCCAGGGGTTGATCCCCAGTTCCCTCAGCCCCCATTGTAGGGAGGGGACTCTGCCAGAGCTTCTGGAGAGCCCATGAAAAGCCAGGTTCAGGCTCCAGGGAGAGATCAGCTTGGAGACTCTGGGGTATTAGGACCTGTGGGGTCAACAAGGTGGCCCTGTGACCTCCACCTCTGGCAGCCTGATTGAGGTCTCCCAGACCCTCAGAGCCCCATGTTTATCTCTGTCACCCTGGCCAGCTCCATATCCCTGCCCCCACATGGGGCTCCGGTTGATGTCCTTGCCTCCCTGGTGCCCACACTGGGCCAAGGTCTCCTCGGGCTCTACCCCAGGGTCTCCTCCCTGGAGCCCCCTTTGCACAGCTGTCCTTCACAGTCTGTCTGAATAATGCTCGTCAGAGCCATTGTCACTGAGCACTCAGAGGGCTCGGCCCTGCACAGAGCACTGCACGCCTGAATTCTCCCAGCAGCGCCATGGGGCAGCTTCAGGTACCATCCCCATTTCACGGATGGGGAAGGCGAGCCAGAGAAGAGCTGAGCAACCTGCCCAAGGACTCCCAGCCCACAAACAGGGCTGCTGGGATTCGACCCCAGATCACTGGGCCCTGACACCATACCAAAGGGGTGCTCTTAGGGAGGCACCTGGGTGGTTCAGTCGGTTGAGCATCCAACTCTTTTTTTTTTTTTTTAAAGATTTTATTTATTTATTTGACAGAGAGAGACACAGCGAGATCAGGAACACAAGCAGGGGGAGTGGGAGAGCGAGAAGCAGGCCTCCCGCCAAGCGGGGAGCCCGATGCGGGACTCGATCCCGGGACTCCAGGACCATGACCTGAGCCGAAGGCAGTTGCTTAACCAACTGAGTCACCCAGGCGCCCTAGGTGGAATCTAAAAGTGGCATCAAAACTGACTCCAAAAGCCAAAGTGGAATGCTGGCCACCAGGCCCAGGGGTGGGGGCATGGGAGAGGC